GCTTTAGCTTGTGTGCTAACCTGCTGTCAGTGTTAGCTTTAGCTTTATCTTGTGTGCTAACCTACTGTCAGTGTTAGCTTTATCTTGTGTGCTAACCTGCTGTCAGTGTTAGCTTTATCTTGTGTGCTAACCTGCTGTCAGTGTTAGCTTTATCTTGTGTGCTAACCTGCTGTCAGTGTCTTCTTCTGGATACTTGTCAACAACGTTGATTATGTCCAGACACACCAGACCGACACACAGAATCTTCTTCTTCTCCTCCATGTCGTTGCGGACCGCTGATTGTGGGTTTGAGCTCTCGTCAATCAATAATCTGGACTTCGCTCCCTGTACAGCACTTCAGAGTTCCTGAAAAAAAAAACATATTCACTAACCAATTACACCTTGTAAACGCCACCATCAACACAGAAACTGCCTGTAATTCAGCGATAGAGGCCGAGTTAATTAATTTCACTGCAGACTTGTCCTAAAGCTTATAAAGAATAAGTGCTCATTTTAAAGTGGTCTGTTAAGACAGTCTACATTGTTTTAACATTAGGGGCACCAGATCTGTTTTTTTTTTTCTGATCAATACTTTATTCATCCTTTATAAATCCAGCTCCTACACACCAAGGAGTGAGATTGTAAGAACTGCGGAGCCATTTTTCAAAACCATTGAAATTCAAAGAAGAAACTAGCTTTGTCTTTTTGGTCATTTATTATAACTGACTGTATTTGGATAAGGGTTATAGTTTAGAAATGACAACAGGCAGCTTGTGTTAGCCGGTCCGACACTGACGTCATCTTTATTAACTTCCGCTTCGCTGAAAACAGAATGTCCGGTATGCTTCAAAATAAAAGCATCAACATAAATCACTTACATAGTTCCCATCCTCCAAAAAGAAACATACTCGTTTCCAACATCCAAAACAAACAAAACCATCCAGAACTCAATAACACAACTCCTCAATAAAAATGCATAAACTAATCAATTATTAGTATTTTTAGTATATTATATTAGTATTTTATTTCATATGGTTTAACACTTAAAATTCCATACATAAGTTGATAATTAACATAACTTTATTACAGACAAATCTGCTGTATTTTACAACTCAGTTTAGACAATGTTTTAAGTTTTAAACTCTTCTCGTGAACAACTTAACTCAGTAAACAAATTGATCAAATGAAATGATACAATGATGATCATATTTTTAATAAAGAACTGATGATACAATATTTCACAGGCTGATGTTGTGTTTGCAGCATAGAAGCTTTTTCATCTTATCTTCATTTTGTTTACCTGCAATAATTTTAGAATTCCTGCAGGAGTGATCAACACAGTGTCAACACAGAGCCAACACAATTTGTGTAGTGTGTCAATACACTGATGTATCATCATCCCATCACTGTTAACTAAACTGTCTAAAAGATGACGGCAGCTTCTTATGTGCTGACACTGCTCACGTCACATTCTGTAAAACATTACGGTAAGCAGGAGCTAGCGTTAGCTAGCATTAACTGGCTAACTAAACTTGTTCCTACTACTTACATGCAGAATTTATCCGACAGGACTCTGTTGAACAACATCCCACCGCTGCCATCACTGATACCCAGCGTATTTGGATATTGGTTATAGTTTAGAAATGACAACAGGCAACTCGTGTTAGCCGGTCCGACACTGACGTCGACTTTATTAACTTCCGCTTCGCTGAAAACAGAACGTCCGGTTTGCTTCAAAATAAAAGCATCAACATAAATCACTTACATTATTATAAAAATAGAACTATCAAACCTAACTGAATAATGAACAAAAATACTAAAAATTTAGCATGAAACACAAAGATAAAATTTTAGAATTTTATTCCATCTTCAGCTAAGATGTCTTTAGTCTACTGGACAAACTATTGTCTAAAATGTCAGTGTGACAGGGCCTTAAGGAAGCAATACTGTTCTGGACATCATTGGTTCTGAGATGTTGCTGATAATACAGTTAAAGAGCTAATTACTAATAGTCCAAGAGATATACCATGTTTATCTGCAGAAAAAGTACCTGCAATTTTGATGGTACCCCATTAAACTACATCCCTTCCAGGTGTAAAAAAAAACAACATTTCTTACAAAATTTCTCCCAGAAACAAAGTCAGAATTCAAGATTAATGCCAAAAATCATGGCTTTGACTATGTCTATATAATATCTGACCATAATCACCAGGGACCTCATGTGTCAACGGTGCGTACGCACAAAAACCTTGCGTACGTCATTATCCACGCAAAACTCCGGATGTATCAAAATGCAACTGAAGGTGGAAATGTGCGCAGCCTCAACTGCAGGCCTGGTGTCACGTTTCTGTGACTTTGGTTCCACTGGTGACACTTAGAGGTGATTCTGATTAACTGTTCATGATGTGAAGCTGATCACTGTTCACACTAGACCAGGGGTGTCAAATTCCTGTCCTCGAGGGCCGCTATCCTGCATGTTTTAGAGGTTTTCTTGCTCCAACACACC